TTATAGGTTTTATTCTTTGATTTATCCATTTCTTTGTTTGCAAAACTTCATTTTTTACTGTAAGAGTAATTAGCTTTTCTTTTTCATTGTTTTCATCGTTTTTGATTTTGAGAACTAAAGCATTGTCGTCTATCGTGATTCATTAATGCGGGTATATTGAAGTTTGGAGGAACGAAGCATTATTTTTTATTCCAATTTCCTTTTCTGGAACTGCTACAGCTGCTGCTTATCCATCATATCGAATCAGCTTTTCATTTGTTGGAATATTGACGCATATTGTGTGACGTGCCGCTGGGCATTTTTATTTCTAATTATTTATGTTTATTGCCGTTCCTTTTTCAAGCTGTACTTTCATATGCTTGAAAATTTTTCTCTTAATCTGATCATCCCTAAGACTGTGTATTTCTTTTTTATTTTTATTGTCGTTTTTGTCTTCTGTACCTAAAAGTCTACTTTCAATGTGAAGTTTGTGAAGTTATTTTTGTATTCACACAATGTTCAGTAGGTTAGTATAGGTTCTCAGGAATCTGTTTAGGACTGCCATAATGAGAGATTCGTCTGAAAAGCTGTTGAAAGTGCGTTGATGTTGTTGTAGGTAAAAAGACACTTCGTGATGTGCCAAAAATTAGAGTAGTTTCTTCTTTGTGAGTGTATATATATATACATAGATATATTTGCATGTATAAAGCAGGAAAGATTCTTCAAAGAAATTTTAACTTGCAATTTTATCATAAAATTTGTTCGTCAGTTTGTGTATTTATTTATTTTTTCTTGTTTTTTTTTTCAATTTTTTCATTGTTTTTGTTTTCGTTTAACTCATAAAGAATCTTGATTATCAGTTTTTAAGCACGTATTGGTTTCATTTGTAATTATGATAATGAGAAGAGTCGTCTAATTGATGCTTTTCTTGATGTTTTTTCTCGGAGGAAAAAGTGGTGTGAAATTAACTCCTAAGTTAGTTTACTGTTCCACATGACAAAAGAAGTCTTTCAAAGGGTGTTCAAGTTACCCAATGATGCTGGGAAAAAAAGGAAATAAAAAATAATTATTATTATTGTTTTTTTTGTCTGCTTTCTACTTTACTGCTTCTGACTGAATAGATAAATAGCGCTAATGGGAAATGTTTATACGCATAATGTACAGGTAGAAAGTTGGTTTTTTGCGTTATAGTCTAGGGCCAGCTTCTGTCTCAAAAGTTTTGCAGGGCTGGGAACGATGATGACAGTGGTGCTCAGACTTGTTGAGTGACGGCTGAACGCGGACAGTTTGGTATGATAAAAGTGAAAATTTTTAGTACTACCAATTTCTTTTTGAGGAATGAGGATGATTGCGGTATTTTGTCGTACAAAAAGTTCAAATGCTTTTTAGTGAGTTCACGATAAGGTGCTAATTATACATGGTTTTTTTTTTGGCTTTTTAAATTTAGGAGCTGTTTTGTACAGTGGTATGCAGCCTTACTAGGTTAGTGTAAAGGTGTTAGGCGGTGAACAGTTTTTTGGCAAGTTAACTATGAGAACTTTCAATCATAGGCACAGGATTTCCATTTGATGGATTTGAAAGCGATAGAGACAAAAAAAGTGTTATTGAATGTCAAACATCAAATTTGTCTAATAGTTTGAGTTGGCGAGCGGTTTTGTTACCAGTAGGTAGATGAAATTTTAGTGAAATAGCAGAGTAGGAGATTAAATAGTTTTAATCTATAGATGTGCCAAAAAAAAAGAAAAAATAAGAAGCGCAATCTAGAGGAAAAGCTTTTGGGTGTGATATAAAAAGAATTTGGTTAGATTGCTATTAGAACAAAAAAAAAAAAATCATTGATTGTATTTTGTTAGTAATTCATGGATAAAAATTTTATCTGGAAATGTTGCTTGGTAGAAGATGGATTTTTTGGGAGAGGAGAAATAGAAGATGATGGCGATGATGAAGAAGTAGACGGTGAAAAAAAAAGAAAGGGTAAAAGACTGGAAAGAATTTTGATTTTTTTTTTTTCTTTTCTAATTATTGATATATCTTATATGTATTTGAAGTGTTTAAATAGAATTAAAAAAATTAAAAAGGATTTTTTTCTATGAACAATTATAAACTGCAATTATACCGCATGAGCAGTGTAAATATTAATGGAAATCTAAAGACTAAAGAAAAGAGGTGGAAAATACTATTTCATGTCTATGGGAGTTTTTTTTT